TGGGCAGGGACACCTTCCACGAGCCCAGGTTGCTCCAACCTGGCCTTGGACACTTCCAGGGATCCAGGGGCAACCGGAGCTTCTCTGGGCAACCTATGCCGGTGTCTCACCACCCTCCAGCTTCTTATTTTCCTTGAGAAAACTGTTCTCAGAGAGCAGCCTCTGGGTTGATTTTTTATTCTTTTTTCCCTTTATTACAGCAAACCCCCTGTGTGTCTCCCAGGCAAGGTCAGTGCTGGTGTGCTGCAATCAATAACCTCTCGTTAAGCGTGCCCGGCTCAGCTCTCACACGGGGGTCATGGTTGCTCTACATCTTTATTACGAATGAAACCTCCTCTGCCACTGCTGAGCCAGGAGCTGGCTATTTTTTAAAGCCTCTCCAGCTTTAGGAACATTATATCACATCACCTGGAACTGCAGCTCAGGATCCATCTGGAAGTGCTGAGCATGGGGGAAAATGAGGGCTCATAAACCAAGCTTTTCCCTCCAGAGATTCTTCCACAGGTAGATAAGCAGACACTGGTTCAGGAGAATTTAGGAATGACTCAGCCCCAGACTTCCAGCTTGTTGTGTGGAGATTTTGGTGACAAACAGACCAATGAGCTTGAGGAAAGGCTGAGATGCCTCATTCTCCGGGGAAATTCCACACGTGCTCGTGGCACAGAGCCCTTGCAGAGCTGGTATGGCCATTAATCCTGGTGTCTTTCCTGGTGGCATCACCTGGTGTGAATTGTCCAGGTGCCTGGGATGAGCTCTGGGAATTGCACATTGTGTAGCTGCTTATTTAGTTTGAATAAATAAACGTGAAAACAAAGCTCTTGTTCATGAATTTTTATCCCAGAATAATTTCTTAGCCTTGTGTGAGCCAGCTGAGTCCCTTTTTTATTTAGCACTGCTGCCAGGCTCGTTCTGACATTTGCAAACGTTGACATCCCAGTTACAGACAACAAATTGCTTCAAAATCCTCTTATTCTCTTGAAAGAATTCCTTCCTCTGCGCTCCGGCATTGATGTCAAACAGTTGCTGTGTGTGAGGATGGCTAATTTCACTAAAAACTTTGCAAGGCTGGTTTTGACCTGAATATGCCTCATAGCAGGATTTGGAGCTGCCTTTGGCTTCCTGCCAAAAGCCAAGCCAAGGAATCCAGTTTGCCCTGCAATTATCCCAACCTGTCCCAGGTATCCGTGGCTGGCAGCGGCTCCCGGGCCCCGACTGTGTCCTCGTGTCCAGAGGGATGCAAAAATGCCGAGGGGATTTGCCCTTGATTGAGAAAAATGAGGCTTCTGAGTGCTTCCATGACTGGGAAAATGCTGGGGTTCCTCCTCTGGGAGGAAGGTTGCTGGCCCAGGTAATTCCCAGCTGGCAATTTGCTGCTGGGAGACAGGAGGATCCTGGACTGGAAACTGTCTCCAGCTCGCTGTATCCTGACCCTCCTCTGTTATCAGTGACACTTCACTGCTCCCTTATCTCACAGCAGTGTTGTGAAGCTTAATTAACTAATTAATCTCTCAAAGAATTGTGATGGTTTTAGATAAAAGACCCTGAGCAAAGTATCTATTACCGGTCCCTTCACTAGCGACAATAACGTTGTTATTGACTCCCAAGGGCTCTCTGGGGTTTAACCCTTGGTTTATTAAGGATACTGCAAGAATTTTAGGCTTTGACAGAGCAGTTGTATGGAATTCTGGGCTGTCCCTGGGGTAACACCTCCTGCAGTGCCTGTGGAGCAGGAATCCACACCTTTGGCATCGCTCGGCGTCCCTGATTCTCTGTGGGCAAGGTGAGGTGTAATCCAGGACTCCCCATCCCAGTCATGGATGTATTATGTCTCTTTTTTTCTAATTAGAATGAGCACATTTAATTAGTGGTGGGTTTAGAGCACACGCAGAGAAAAGCTTCCTGTCACTTCCCTGGATTTCCACTGCAGGGTTGCGTGTGCTGCCACACAGGATTCCCAGCGAGCTGTGCCTCTGGCACCACTGCCATCCCAGAGGAAATAAATTAAGGAATGGTCATTTTCTAAACAGTGATGCTTATCTTTTTGCTTTCCCTCCCCAAAAAATTTAATCTTCAGGTTGAGGAGAGACAGCAGTGAGAGCGTTGTGGTGAAGGTGACAGCTGAGTGAAAATCGTTCTTCCCTGGAAGGATAATGGAATGTTGATAGAAGGCAGTGGGATACGGACTGGTGAGGGTGACAGGAGGGAATTAGGTCTTGGAGTGGGGACTAACACAGATGTAAGAGCAGGACAGCACAGTCACCAAATGGGTCAATGCCATCTCCTGGGATTTTCTCCCAAATGGAGGGGGGTACTGGGGGCCAGGCTCGTGATTCCTGCACCCAGTGACTATTCCCAGGGGCCGTGTTTGGCCACCACAACACTGACATAGTGTTGGAGAGGATCTGCAGGGAATGATGAAGAAATGGGGAACAGCACCTGAGGAGTGGGCAGGTTTGATTCGTTTTGGAGGATGATCCTCCTGATTACGCCCAGGGAGCATCACTGGCTTGGTTACAGATATACTGGGGTGGTGAACCTGTGGTGATTGATCCCTCCATTGTCCTGATCTCAGCCAACAGGGATGTGGGCTTTGGGGGCACCCTGAAAAGCCCCTCGGTGGGGTGGAAGCCTCCCTGCTGCTCCAGGCCAACAGGCCCCTGTGGCTGCAGTGTCAGCCCCATGCTGGCACCACAGTGGGCGCACAGAGATCATGGAATCCCAGGATGGTTTGGGTTGGAAGGGACATCAAGGATCATCCAATTCCAACCCCAACCTTCCACTAGCCCAGGTTGCTCCAAGCCCCCATCCAACCTGGCCTTGGACACTTGCAGGGATCCAGGGGCAGCCACAGCTTCTCTGGGCAACCTGTGCCAGGGCCTCCCCACTCTGCCAGCCAGGAATTCCTTCCTAATCCCCAAGGCACGGGGGGATGAGGGGGGCTTGGCCGCACGAATCCATTCCCCGCGTCCTGCCCCTCCATCCCTGCCCGGCGCGGCCGCTCGGCCGAAACGGAGGCGGCGGGGTCGCCCCAACCTCTCCCCAGCCCTTCCCCATCCCCTTCCCCTTCCCAGCCCTTCCCCATCCCTTTCCCACTCCTTCCCCGCGTCCCTCCCCCGGCGGGCGGCGGGACTACGAGTCCCATGGCGCCGCGGGCCGGGGGCGGAGCGGGGCTTTGTGCGGGCGGCATGCGGGGGAGCCGCAGCCCGGGCTGGAGCCGGAGCAGGAGCAGGAGCAGGAGCCGCAGCCGGAGCCGGAGCGAGCCCGCCCCGGGGGGAGGAGGGCGAGGGCGGCGAGCCATGACGGGCGGCGGCGCCGCGAAGCGCCGGCGGTGGTAGAGAGAGAGAGAGAGAGAGACACACAGAGAGAGAGAGAGAGAGAAAGAAGAGAGAAGAGCGGAGGGAGCCCCGAGCGCGGAGCCCGCGGGGCAGCGCCGAGGGGCCGCCATGGGCAACGCGGGCAGCGTGGACGCGCAGCACACCGAGCTGCGGGCGCACCCCGTGCCCCTCAAGCTGCCCATGCCCGAGCCCGGCGAGCTGGAGGAGCGCTTCGCCGTGGTCCTGGTGAGCCGTGAGCCGGCCCCATTGTCTGCGGGCGGCGCGGGGGGAATGGGGGGGGGGGGCGGGATGAGGCAGCGGCGAAAAGTTGGAGCGGGAGCGGCGGCCGGGCACAGGTGGGCTCGGCCCCTCTGCCCGCGGGACGGGGCCGCGGCTTCTTTGTCTCGGGAGCCCCCCCCCCCCCGAGAGCCGCCCCTGGCCGAGCCCAGGCGGAGCCCCGGCCGGTTCGCCCGGCGCCGGCGGAGCGCAGCCCGCGGGCGGGGGCGGGAGCTGCGGGCGGGGATCGGCCCGGACCGGCGGAGCCCCCCGGGACACCCCGGTCCTGAGACCCCCTACCCGGCCCTGTTCCCCCACCCGGGGACACCCCGGTCCTGTGACCCCTCCGGGACACCCCAGTCTTGTTCCCCCACTCGGGGACACCTCGGTCCTGTGACCCCTCGGGGACGCCGCCGTCCTGCCCTCCCCCTCCCGGGGAGCCCCCTGTCCTGCCCCCCCGGAGG